GACATATTAAGGTTAAGTATTTATTACACTTTGTAGTATAATTATTTTATTATACACAGTGTGTATATAGTTATAGTAATAATTTAAATTAATGTATAATGTATGTTAGAGTGAGAGAGTCCTTTGATTATATAAAATTAACTTAGTAGTATAGGGAAGTACCAGATGGCTTATTAAAGCATTTATGTATACTTGAATGAATAAGAAGGTTTATATAAAGTGGCCTGTTTTAAACAAAGATAGAATATATATTTATTGAATAATTTCCTTAATGGTCTTTTGTGTGGCAGGTGCTAGTGCTGTATTTCCTGTGAACCAGTCTATATCTTTATTAGTCAGTGTGGAAAGTTCTAGATGTGAATCAAATGATCCGAATATTCCTGATTCTTCCATTAAAGACTTATCTGCGGCTGTTCCTATAACCATTACTTTAAACCGGTCTTGATTTTTAGCAAACAGCTTAATTGCCTGTAGAATTGGGTTTAAGAACCTTGGACCAATTGACACGTACTCCATTAACCCTTCTATATCATCAAGAATAACTAAAGATTCGGCACTTTTATATGCATCCTTAAAGGTATTTCGTATATAGTTGACTTTTTCGTTCTCCTCCTTGCCTACAATGTCCTTTGGTGAAATAACCCGAATAAAAGGAATCTCTGACTTTTTCGCAATTATTTCTGCAAGGGCAGTCTTCCCTGTCCCTGGTCGCCCTGTAAGAAGCAAAGAAAGTGTTTTTGACTTTTTTGCGGTGTCTTTTCGGAGTCTGCTTACAATTGTTTCACCGTGCTTTATTACTTCCTGTGCTGATGGGTACGCGTAGAACGGTTCTGGGAGTCTCAGTGCAGTGCTTACACCAAATGCAGGGACTGTTTCATCAAGTGCTTTCTTAAAATCATTCATATCTATCATTACCTCTTTCTTAGTGTTCCTGGCTCTTTCCAAGGCAAATGAAGCAGCACTCTTAACAAGTGCAGTGATCTCTGCACCGGTATAATTACGGGCTCTTTTGGCGATTTCCTCTAAGTCAATGTCTTTCTTCATAAAACAGTTTGTCTCCATTTTGCTCGTATGAATCTTTAAGATTTCCAGTCTTCCTGCTTCATCTGGCAGGGATATTTCAATGTGTATCTCAAACCGACCGGGTCGTAATAATGCATCATCAATTAAATCCACTCTGTTAGTCATCCCAATCACAAGAATATTATTCAATGACTCCACACCATCTATTTTTGAAAGAAGTTGGTTAACCACCTGGTCACCAACGCCATTAGAAGACCCTCTGCTCTTACAAATCGCATCAATCTCGTCAAATATTATTATGTGCAGTGCACTCTCATCGCCGTATTGCTTATAGTCCTTTTCTGCATCCTCAAACAATTTTCTTATATTCTCCTCACTCTGCCCAACATACTTGTTCAGTATTTCAGGCCCGTTCACAATTTTAGGTGGGGCAGAGTTTAAAAGAGCAGACATTCTCCTGGCAATAAGAGTCTTTCCTGTCCCTGGCGGACCGTACAGCATAATCCCCTTTACATGACTTATCCCCATGTCTTTAATAAACCCTGGCTTGTACATCCTCTGAATGAATGCTCTCCTAAACATCTCTGCAAATTCTTTTTTTAGTCCTCCTATCTCCATCTCAAGAAAATCAAATTCTGTGTTCATACTCAACTCACCCCCCATCCCTAAAATGGTAATTCCCTGGTGGTCCTTAATTACTATCTTTGTGTTGTTGTTCACCACACCAATAACTTCCTTATTCGGCAACTTTATCTTCTCTACCTTACAAATAAACATAACCTCCTTATTTGAAATATCCGCAGATGGTTCTATCTCCATAAGCAGCCCTAAATCCTGTCCCTCTGTCAGCGGTACACCACTCAATATTTTTAAAAATGTATTATTAATTATTCTGTGGTTTATCCGTATGTGAACACCCCGTGTCTTTCCTTCTATAGAAATGGTCACTTCTTCTATTTCTCCCATAACACCCCTTGGCCCGTTAATTACATCTACATACTCATTCTCTTTTATATCCATAAATACTCTCTGCACTTGCGACAGAGATACACTGTACGGGGGTAAATCCCTATCAACTCTCACTTTAAATACGTATCCTTTTATAATACAGTAGTCTCCTGTGTACTCTGCTGATATATACACTTTATTCTCATGTGCTCTGAGAATATTTTTCATTCTCTCCACTTTATACTGACCCATGTTTTATATTTATTTTTCACTATTGCATTTAATTTGCTTAAATTTTATTAGCATGTTCACACAGCCTCAGGATAAAGAAGTCTTCAGAGATAGCAAATTCAACAAAACCAGTAATATTCCATCTCTTAGCTCAAAAATACACAAACCATCTGAGAAAATAGATAAGGATGCAAGAGAACAGGAAGTGTTTAATAGACTTCCTTCTATTCCTATTATATTGGAGCAAGACAAAACAAGAGAAGAGGCGAGAGTATCACCGCCACTAGCACTAAATCCAACTGTAGAATATTCTGCACAAGGGTCATCTTCACATAAATTAATACGTTCTAGTATGTATACGGTGCCAGCAGATGAGGATTTATTTGAGTTAATAGGGCTGCCATTACTTATTGTAGCACAGCCATTTAATGAGAGTGTTGCTATTCCTGAGTACAGAACAGATTATTTACATAAGTGCAAAGAGTGTGGGTCATTTCCCACTGTATCTGACGATTTGTTTAGGGGGCAGCAGGAGAGTACTTACCAGTTTAAGTGTGTTATGTGTGGGACTACGAATGACTTACCGTATGACTGCCCACTGCTTAGAGAGCCTACTGTAGAATACATATGCGAGGACAGTTGTATAAGCAATAGAAGCTGGTACTCATCAGACAATCTACCTAAATCAGATATTTCATTACCTTCTTGCCGTAAGTGGAAAGAGCCGTGTGTTGTATTTATGATAGACTGCTCGTCCACATCAAGGAGTAACACTGGATATATTGAATTTATGGGAGGATTAAAGAATATTCTTGCATCGCCAGACTTTTCGTTATTTTATAGCAGACTGTCGGTTGTTTTAGTGAATGATCAGGTTTCTGTTGTATCAGATGGAGAGATGGGCTACTCTGTAAATATAATACACAATATAAAGGGTGATTACGGCTTGTGCGCACCGCTGTTTATTGAGACAGCGAATCTAACAGAGGAAAGGATTAATTCTTTAATTCAAACAATAGAGAGCACGCCTTCATCGACATTCAACATATCTGGTGGCATTACAACAGCAATACAGCTAGCAGCATATACTGGTGGGTGCAAATTAATCAGCTGGCTTGGAGGGCATGATTATACAGAAATACCTGAGAAACTCACACAGACAGCGATAGACTGCGGTGTTTCACTGACTGTATTCTCCACGATTAACAGCAAGCTTGACAAATTGTATAAGACGGTTATGTCAACTGGCGGGTGTGTTGAAAGAGAGAATATTACATCTGGCGTGGTAGAGAAAATCATGCAAGAGTCCTTTTTCAGGTGCTCAATTCGGGTTGTATGCAGCAATGGAATTAAGAAAAGAGCTGTGTACAGCAGTGGGTCCTCTGAGAACATATCAATGATATCGTTCCCTGCAATGTCAGCACCAACAACATTTGCAGTAAGCTTTTCAGTTGAAGACTTCCTTAAAGAAGGAGAGTCTGTGTATATTCAGGCCATTGTTGAATACATAAATCTATCTGGAGAGAGCAGGACAAGAATTCTTAACTTAAGACTAAAAGCAAGTAGGCTGATTCAGCAGGTGTTCACAGGAATGACCATGGATGCAATGTTCTGTGGAATATGTAAGTATATATGCTCTGATCCGCTGAATATGATAGAGAACATTAGAAAAGCAGAGACTTCTATGGTCACAGCACTTGCTCTCTATAAAAGAGCGTGTGCTAAAGATACATCTCCCTCACAATTAGTACTCCCAGATACAATTAAAGGACTGCCCGTGCTTATTCAGGCAGTTCTTAAGTACCCAAAGGTTCAACTTGGTCCATCTGTAAAAATCGAATTTGCATGTGAAGTAATGCCCCTCCCTGTAGACAGAACATTTAGACTGTTCTATCCCCGCCTTGTAAAAATATCTTCTCTATTCACAGTGAGACAGATCGATGACTTAATTGGAGAAAGATTAAGTATGCGTGCATTAGACACAGAAGAGAGCTATATCATGGACACAGGATGCAAAACTATCCTATGGTTTGGTAAAGGAGCAGTAGACTATATGGATGAAATGGTTCAAAATGAAGTTGTTATTTCTGCACTGGATAGGCTTAAAGAGATATATGGCGTAGAATTAAAGGTTTTGCACTGTGTTCAAGGAGAACTTGATGCAGAATTTATTGGGTATATGATAGAAGATCAAATGGGTGGATATCCAAAATATCAAGAATATTTAGGATCACTGCACGGAAGAATAGTTAAAAAATAAACTGTTAAAATTCTTATAATTTTTATTTTTAGTATGATTTATAACGGTTATTTATAAATAAAATTATAGTCTTAATTTAGTATATTATGTGCTATTCTTATCAATGATTCTTCTAAAATATTTTCTATTCTCTTTTTTGATTTCTGCTGTATCTTCTGTATTATTCAACACTTTCTGTATTTCTGCATGCTCTTCATGCGTTAACATGCTTCCTTCTTCATTTGGTTAATAAATTTAATTAGTTCGGGTTTTAATATAAACATTCTTTTTTGTCTGTGATTTACACCGCGTATGTGATCAATCCATCCATTGGGCGTTTTGTACTTTATTGCTTTCCTGCACAGAGAGCAGAAATATTTCATTAAATAAATTCTGTTCAAATTATTATTATTAGAGCGTCTTCACTGAATATACTTATTATAATAGTATCAGTCAAATAAGCATAAAGACAAACTAGGGAGTATATCCATAACACTCTTATTATCTAATACAGCTAAGCAGGAGAGTGCATAGAAAGTATACAGCAGAGTAGGTGTTCCATTTGGTCTGTCTGAATAGCCTCCTTCTACACACTCACACGATGAAATGAAATTTCTTAGCGCAGAAGAGTCTACATATCCCGGCACGCCCATAATTGCTAGTGTGGAATACCCCCAGAACGTACTGCATATTTCTTCAATTTTATCAACTCTTCCTGAAATCCCTCCTGAGTTTGTCTGTAGAAGCCCAATTAGTGTGGCTGTTTCTTGTATGGATATAAGACCGATTTCACCCAGACTAAAAAGAGAAGATACTCCACTGAATGTATACGCCGCATGTGATTCACTACCTGGCATGGCACCAATACCCCCATCAAGATTAACACACTGTGAAATATATTCACAGAGGATTTTTTTCATTGGTGCAAGAATAACAAACATATCAGGGCCACCAAGGGATAGTTCAGTCAGCAAGCTTTTCGATGCGATGTAATAACAGATATAACTAATATTGAGGATTGAATTAAATCCTATTAGCTTTTCATTTGTTACTATTTTCTCAAGGTATGCATTGCACATAACACAATTAGTTGTTTTCCCTGATGATTCTGTGTCTGTCTCTATGTCCAACGAATCAGATGAAGAATCAGAGACATGTTCAAGTGACTGGAATATTTCTTCATTCCTTCTCTCTTGTACTGTAAACTGCCCTGGGCGCTTTGTTTCTGGCGAGTCCTCCTGCACCAGAACTGTGCTTGTTGGAGTTTCACTGCCTTCAGAAAGCTCGTTTGATTTCTTTAGAACGTAAAGAATTTGCAGTGCAGAAAGTGTGGAAATAGGACAAGATGGATATTTCGGCCTGGCACCAAACCCACCATCTTCATTCTGGCACTCCACCACGAAATTCAATATTTTCTTTGAAAGTCTCTCAATATTCTTATGGTCTTCCAGCAGTAAAAGTGACCCAACTACCCAGTAGAATGTACTTATCCTCATGGGCTCAGAAAGGTAAAATACTCTTGTTTTTTCTCGCACACACCTAAGTACAAAATTAATGTGTTTTTTGTTCTGCTCCATATTTTACTCTTTTGATTTACGTAAATATTCCACCTAAATTAATAAATATTCAATTAAATACTCTTCACATAATAAACAAAAATCCCTTTTTTAAATATTCTACTTATAATAATAAATTCATTTTTATAAAAATTAGAATATTAGAAATAATTATATCTTATAATAAGAAATACTCACTAAATTAAGTAAAACATAAAGAAACCCTTTAAATAAGCATATTTATTATAACTAGGATAATATACGTAATAAATCAGTACACTGCAATAGTTGTACTATTTTATTATAATATTAATTTTGGGTTATTTCATTATATGCTTAATTAAATTTATAACTAGAAATAATTTCTGGTTATTATTTGCCTTGCCATACTGAGCTTTCTTCTTCTGGGCATATAGATGTGCATTGCTGGTTGGTATCTATATTTCCATATGTTGGTGCTGAATTCTTTGATCCTATAAGATTTATTAAGATTGCACTATTAGCAATTAAAAAAAGAAAAACAAATACTGTTAGAAAAAGTGATACTTGTTCAGCCCTTCTAGATCTTCTAGTTGGCACTTCAGTCACTGGTTCACTGGTTTCTCTGTTTTCTTTAGCCTCTAATGCGGTTTCAGTAGAAGAAGATACTTCAGTAGTATCTTCTATACTTGGTTTAGCAGTAGATGTACTGTTAATAATAGAGAATTTCTCTTTTTCAGTTTCAGCGTACTTGTGAATTACATTATTTTCGAATTTTGAGAAAGTCGTTAAATTGGGTTTGAAAATATCATGGAAATTGTTAGGTACACCTGAATATAAAATATTTATACTGCCTATATTTAGAATAGCATTCATAAATTCATTAAATTTACAATTCTTGTTTTCTTTGTATAATTCAATATCCTTTATAGAATAATTAGTAAATATACCAAATATTAAATCGTATAAGGAATCAAAAGACATTTTCTGTCCTGTATTTTTGTTTTCAATACTAATTGATCTATACGCTATCCACATAAGATTATACACACTGTCATATTCTACTCTTGTAAGTAGCTGTAGTGCTTTAATATCATCATTGCTTATTCCTAACTTAGAAGCATTTGATGTTTTTAGTCCAGTTTCATCTATTGTAAATAGATCATTACCATGCTTCATTATTATATCTAATGCTCTCTGTAACTTTGAACACTTTTTTGACTCAGTTAATTCAAAAAGACTAACCAGCGCATAATTGGATGTTGTTTTTTCATTTAATTTTGGTATTCCATGCAGTTCGCATAATGTATTAACATTTTCAGTAAAAAATTGTTTTCTATAATTACATAAAAAATACGCCATAAACAAATGAGATCCTCCTATTAAATTGTATAATGCTTCTTTCTTGTCATTGTCTTGTAAATTATCTGCTATCGCCACAAGTTTATCTATAACTGCTTTTATGTAATTTATAGATGTACCAACCACTGATACAACTGCGTCTTCACTATATATAAGGTCAGTCCTTTGATATACTTGTAATAATAATGAATTGTTTGCTAGACTGACTAGTTGTTCTGGTATACCTGAAAATATTTTAACTTCATTATTAATCCGTGCCAGCATATCCATTACTATCCGGTTGAGTGTTTTAATTTCCCTATACTCATAATCCCCTAGTGATTTCTGTAGTTCTTTTCTTAACAGCTTCTCTTCTTTAAACTCCTGCATTAAAAATCTTTTTTTTCATTTATTTATTTAAGGTTATATTAGGCCATGCTAATATTTTATAAATAGAATATCCGAATAATTAATAAAAATTGGCATTTATTGAATTTCTGCTTATAATAATACTAAATACTTTTAATTTGGGGTTATGCATAGTCCATCAATCATTATTTTACCATCTTCTTGGAGTTCTTCTAGAATTGACATAAGAACTTTTTCTTGGATTCTAGCTGTTGTGTTAAGACTTTCCATTAGCTTCGGGACTGTACTTCCCTTTCCAATGTCTCTGAGGATTAGTTCTTTTAAGTCATCTTCTAGCTTTAGTGCAGCAGTTGTTTTTCCTGTGTGTAAAAGCTCCATATCAATTCTGCCTGTCACTGGGTCTACTGCATATATATGCAGAGAGTCCTTTATAATACGAATGGCTTCAGAGACATCTTTGTCTTCAACTGTGTGGGAAAGTCTCATTCTGGCGTGTGCTTCACTCAGCCTTATTAGACTCTCTAGTTGTCTGGTGGTTGCTGTGACACTCTTTCCATTTCCTAGCAGGCGTAGCTCTTGGTACTCTTTAGATATTCTTAGTGCTGCACTTTCTGTTATTCTCGGGTTAATGTTTCTTCCTTCTTTGATGTACTGCTTAAGCACACTTTCCTTTACTGGAGGGTCTTCTGGTTTTTCTGTTCCTGCATATAACTTTATAATATGCGTGCTTATTTCCTTATCCCTTTTCTCATTCACTCTGTCCAGAAGCAGACACACCACATCAAATCTACTGAGCAGTGTCGGTGGAATATCCAGATTTTCAATTATGTTCTTCTTTGGGTCGTAACTACTATTAATTGGATTGCATGCTGCTAGAATTGAACACCGGGCATTAAGAGTTGTTATAATCCCTGCTTTGGCTACACTTACTGTCTGCTGCTCCATTGCTTCATGCAGCACACTTCTTGTGGCCTCCCCCATTTTATCAAACTCATCTATACAGCACACTCCACCATCACTTATCACCAGAGCACCAGACTCTAAAATATGCTGTCCGCTTTCCATATCCCTAGATACATTTGCAGTAAGACCGACTGCACTAGACCCCTTTCCTGAGGCGTATACACCCCTGTCAATAAGCCTGTGCACTGCCAGAAGCAACTGACTCTTTGCAACACCCGGATCTCCTGCAAGAAGTACATTTATATCCCCTCTAAACCTAGCACCGTTCAACGACTTCGTCACTCCTCCAAACATTTGCAGAAGAAGTGCCTTCTTCACATCAAGCATTCCGTATATAGATGGTGCCACAGATAAAGCAAGCTTCTCATATACATCTTCAGTGTTTCTTAGCCTCTCGATCTCCTCTAGTGCATCGAAAGAGCACCTTCCCATTTTTTCCTCTGCTATTTTTGTATAACTGACCATTTCAATATACGTTTTAAAGGAGCTCTTTATGGTCCTGTGTATATAATTCAGCTTTAATGGAACTGCTCTGAATATTCCAGCAATTCTAACTTTATCCCCTGGAGAAAGTCCATCCGTAAGTACGTGCGAAGCAAGAACTGTTATAGTGCACGGAACCAGCCCATCACACACTGATTCAGGCAGCTCCTGTATCTTTATCACTTGCTTGTCTTGGAAGGAAGAAAGCATACTGTCCATTTCCATGGAAAATCTCTGTCCACACGGGCAGTCCACTGGCTCTGCAATTACTCCCCTAACCACCTCAGTTGTTAATACTTCTTTACACTTTCCGCACACATACGCTGCTGTAGTAATATCCGGAATTATTCCACTGGTTTTTGTTACCATTCCAATTACCTCCACTGTCGTATCCACATCCTCTGGGTGTAAGTCTCTAATATTCTTCTGGTTTCCTATGTTAGACACAAGCACTTTAATTGCTGGAGGGGTTGATGGATACTTCTCCAAGTACAAGTCAGACACAGCTATCTCTAACAGTGGAAATATCTCAACAGGATATGCAAGAATTTCTGTTAAAATCCTGCCATACGCCGTGTTTTTCAGGTGCTCACAATTCAGTGTAATTACATAATCTTCTAATTCATGCATTTCTTCAATTCTCTGCAGGTACACAAATACCCCATCGTCATTTGAATACGTCCTAATAAACTCTTTGAACAAGTCTATCGTCTCTTGGATGTTTATAGTTGTCCCCCATACAACACGCACATTTTCCTGTGTATATGTTGACTTAATGTCATCAATTATATCTGGTGAGTTCTCTGATGTATACTGTGTAAGATGGAATGGCTGACTGGTTCCTACACTTATTTGACTTCCATTGTCAAATGAAAATGCAGTTGAATTCTGTGAGTACTCCTGGTCATCTCTCTCCATTTAAATTTCAAATTTGCAGGAATAAAACTATAAAAATAAGCTGAGTAATAAATTCTAGTTTTATTCCTAGTGTAATTAACCATTAAATTTAACTATAAATTTTTACACAATATGCATTATATTCTGTACACTTAAAAATATATTTATATTCTTCCTGTACACATAGCCAGAATTAGCCACAATTAGACAAAAGAATACAAAATTAGCCATATAATAACTGTGAATAGTCACAATTAGTCATAATTACACCAAATTTATCATGTAACACTCTAATACGCCCATATAAGTAGAAGTACATTAAACAATTTACTATAAAACCCGAAATAACCCGAATATTTAAAATGTCTTTTATATTTAACCATTCCCTACACAACAAACGGTCTAAGAAGTAGAAGAGATAAAAAGCAGAAAAACACTGTAATCCCGCCCAGCCATCTTTTTAATAAAATAGCCCTATTTCTTCTAGCTAATGCTTCTTCCATCTCTGCAAGGTGTGAGTGTGTATATTCTATGGCAGAAGTGTTAGTGTATGATATTCTGTCTAACTCTTCTTTGTGCATATTTATAATTGACTCCATAAATTCTGTTTTAGTGTTTAGCCTTTTCATTTTATCTGCTGCCTGTGCTATCTGCTTCTCTCTAAATAATTCTGGTGAATTGGTATACGCTGTAATTTCATCCTCTGATAATTTGTTATTTGGTGTTTCATCTGCAACCCCTTCAAGGCAGTTCTTTAGACAGACCGTGCACTCCCCCTGTCTGCTTATAAATGTATTTGCTAGTGCAATGTACTGATTCTGTAATTCAATGAATTCTTGCAGTGAATATTCTGATATTTCTGAATGCAGTGCTATTATATTCTCATTTGTGTTAATCAGTCCTTCAGAGTACTTAAACAGTTGGTATCTTTTCTTCCAGCATGGATTCTTTCCTATTTTTATTAGTCTGAGAGAATCCTTCAGTGCACATTTATTGCTGTGAAATGCTATTTCCATGTGTTTATACTGTGTGTGTTCTATTTATACATTTGTTTTAAGGTGTTACTAAGTGTTTCATCATTTGAAATTTTGGGTTGGTCTATTTACACCACAGGAAATGAAAAATGAATTTTGAGCTAATAAAATTTTATGACAAATCCGGTGAATACCAGCACAGAGAAAGAAGAGTTTTTAAGAAAAGTAGAGAGAGCATTGGAATTTTCCAGGAGTGAGAAGAATATTCCATTGGATAATGCAGTAAAAGAGAAAATAGTTAAAATCATAGGATCACCCATTCACAGAGCACACGACTCTATTATAGATTTACTGAATATTTACATTCAGCCAAAAGTAAAGATTGAATGGATTCTTTCCACACAGCCAGAATTATTAGAGGGTGTCCTGGTTATACTTAACAAAATAAGCATAAAATCACAAATTATTATATTTTATACGAAAGAAATTCTTAAATTTATTTCTTGTGCGTGTGAGACTGTGTGCACAGAAAACCAGATAAATCTTTTATTCATGCAATTACGGATATGCAATGAATTCAGTGATGATGAATACTTCAGGGAAATTGAGAAGAGTGCAATAATTAGACTAAAATCTATTTTAGGCATTGATTGGGAGTTTATAGGAAAGCCGGGGTATACAAGCAGTGGGCAGAGTGTGAGTGTTCCTGTTTTAGTTTGTAATGTGATGGTATGTAATACTGTAAAGGGCGAATTTGAGAGCAGTGCGGGTTTAGATGATTTAGAGAATACAATTGAAACTGGGGACAGGTATTTTCTATTCCCAAAGACAGAAGTTGCTGTATACAACATGAGTAGTCATCAAAAGGATCTTTTGTATTTATATGCTAAGCATTTAGTATTAATAGGGACAGAGTCGTATAAATCAGAAGCTAAAGCCATTTCACAGATGCTTTTACACAACGGGTATTCTCTTGATGCACTATTATTATATGCCGTGTGTATGGTGGACAGGCCAGTAGCTGCGCTTTCTGCAATTGAGTATGGCATAACCCCTGAATTACCCCATAAAGAAAAGGAGCATGACATATTATGGGCGCATGCATTGGTTTCAACAGGATCACATACTCTTGCAATCCCACTATTTGAAAAGCACAGGGAGGCAGACCGGTTAATTACATCACTGATTCTTGCTGGGAAGAGTGAAATAGCAAGGCCGTTATTACAGGAGAAGATTTCCCAGATAAAGGAGAATTTACAGATGCAAGAGATTGTGAGTAGTACATGTCTTTTATATAAAAAGTCCGCGCACTCTAATGAGCCTGTGACTCTTTTAAAGATTGAACTGGCCTCTTTACTATTTTCATTCGGTCTAATGGAAAACAGCATAGACCATCTGAGTGAAGCATTTAACTTAGTAAAAACCGCAAAGTATGCAAAAGCACTGTGCACTAGACTTCTTCTGGCTGGGAGGCATACAGAAGCACTGGCTATTCTCCAGAGCTGTAATTTTGAGGTATTAGACATTGACACACTATTACTCACTGCGATATCCTTTGCACAAATGAATAACTATGAAGATGCAGAGCGTATTATTAAGTATGCAGCAATATTTAACCAGAAGAGTGAAAAAATAGATGCTGCACTGCAGAGAATTCTTATACAGCAAGGAAAGATAGAAGAGGCCATGGACCATTTACTTAACAAGATAAAAACGTACACTCCAAACATAGGAAGAGATGCCAATATGTTATTTACATTTGGAAATTCCTTTATGATGTTTAAATATGCTGAAGAAGCCATGCTATGTCTTTATCTTAAAACAGGCCAGGTTCCTTCTCAGTGGGTTGATACTCTTCTTAAGTCAGCAGAGTCACATAAAGAAGCAAAAGAAGCCTTTTTACGTGTATGCATTGGGATAAAGAGCCTTGGACTAGTTGATATGATCAAAAAAGCACTGAGTTATTCTTTAGAAGTATCTGCATCAACTGAGTACTATGCCAGAAAGAGGCTTATTGAATATGCAATACATAAAAAAGAATTTTCATCCGCGCATGAACACCTCTCTCGCATGAAAAGTCTTTCCACTGAAATAGACCAAAACCAAGACTACTTAGACACAGTTTATGCATTTTATAAGAGTCAAGAGATGCAGCCAGTATAAAGTTATTTCAACATACCCAGAAATATTATTATGTCTAATATAATAAATATTAAATTGTTTGTTTAATCATCTACGTCCTATTCTGGTGTATTTGCCTATACTCTATTTTACTCTGATATATTTATTTACTTTTCTTATATTTAAAGTGTATTCATAGTTTATAGGCATGTGAAGAGTTTTATTTTAAGTAAAAATGAATAATTATACAGAAATATACAGAAATATTAAATAAACATATAATAAGCCATAATTATATCTATATTAAAGAATATCTTATTATACAATACTATTTGTAATCCATTTCTACTATGATTTAACTGTATAATACAATAAAACAAGAAATATATAACATTATATAATAATCACTCTATATTTATATTAAAAACTGTGTGATATACGCTATAGTTTTAATATAGTACTTTGAGAATATTCCTGTAGACTCATTAAACTGTTTTACTATTTTTTTATACTTTTTCATACTCTTTCTGTCCTTCTTTATACGTAATTTATCTTTCTCCTTTAATAAAGCAGATATAATTAAATCGAAATTACACTTGTTTTCTTTTGCGTATGTGCACACATCTGGTATAAATTCGTAATTTATAAGGTTATACGTATATCTGACTAATTCAGATGAATAATTAGACCTTTTACATGCGGTTATAAACCACATGATATACAGGGTGTTTAATTCTTTATCATCCCTGCTGACATAACTCTCAAGAATATTCTGAATATTATTCACAGCACGTATACTACCTGATCTAAATATAAATTCTAATACTTCAGCAGATGATAATTTTCTTCTTAATAATATATCTAGTGATACTCTACGCCGTGATAATTTTAAGCTTATGTCCAAACAAGTTAATAATTGGTCTAATTCACCAGATTCTATTATACAGTCAAATACACCACACACTTGTAATAAACTAAATTCAGAGTTGGGTATATTTGTTAGTGTATATTCAATATCTGGATAATATTTAGAATAATTTAAATTACATATACAACTATTCAGCATGGACAGTCTTGTGTTTAAATCATCCAATGGAACACTTCCAAGTATATTTGAACTGAGCTGCACCAATGGATTATTCTCACTTAACTGATTTTTCTGTGAGTACAGCAGTATACACCTGAATATAAAAGATTTATATTCAACACTGTCAATTTTCCTGAGTATAAATAATTCACACACACTGCCAGAATAATTCTGTAAGAATGTATATATCTCATTTTTTGGTATATATTCACTATTCACTGACCTTAATGAAATTTGTCTTATTTTACTGGTTATGTGCTGATTAATCAAGTATCCAGTATAATTATTAATTTCATTATGGTCGGTTTTTATCTGATTTATCTGTTCTGATAATTTTTCTAAGAAAGATGATGATGGGTATAAAAGAGAGATATGCGTATGGCGTGGTTGTACATTTAAGCATATTCCATGTACAATATTATCATACGTATAAATTAACTCTATTTTACCAAATGCATCAGTTACATCATCCGATCGCTTTTTAAAGTCAAATTCTTTACACTGTACTTTCAGTGAAGAATTCTTTGTTAATGACATAAATGCATGCCTAACAGATTCTTCTATACTATACAAATTATTTTTATCTAATTTCTGTATAATATTCAATGGATTACTCCCAGCTGTATTTGTCACATTCCATGCACTTGTGTTTATTCCTGTTATTTCCTTTATAACTTGAAGAATATTTAGTACTCCACTCCTTAATTCTACTTTATTACCAACATAAGAAATCCTTTCATTATTTAAATAACACACAACTTTACTCCAGTCTAAATGCATTTCGTATGTAGTGGTATTTGTTGGCCTTGGGTATTTCTCAAAGAATTTCTTTATGTGGGCAGATAAAGTATTCCCCATATGCTTGGTGGTGTATTCATGCGTCTCAGGATCGTATGCTAAACAACAAAAAAGACCTAAAAGTGCTGATTCCACACAGTCACTGTAATACACATTCTTATTAACCTTGAATACTCCATTACTTAGCGTATATGCCTCTATACGAGTATATATGGGTAATTGACTAGATTCACAGAATGGGAATACCATATACTTATCCATTGTCTGTTTTATACTGTACAGTGGCATAATATATTTCAGTTCATTATCCAGTGACTCTATAGGCACAAATAATCTATCAAATACTTTATCTATCTTCCTTCTCTTATCACTTAATTGTTCTGGATCTCTCTCCATCTGATCACATAATAGTTCGTATACGGCATCTATAAATTCTATATATTCCTGTACATTATCAATATACTCAAAAATATACGATTCTATAAGGAACCCTATGCTGCTCATAAATATTCCAGTTTTAAATTCCTCTTTACTCCTGGGTTCTGAAGGAGTGCTGTTACTCCCTTCAGATGGACATACTCTATACCTACGAAAGAAGTTAATAATTTCAGTTACTTCACTCTGGTATACTCCAATTTTAACAATTTCCTGGTTTGAATCTATTACATCAATGCACATATCCGCATTAATGTACTCCTTTGTCTCTTTTTTATTTTTCAGTATAAGCCTTTTCTTATTATTACTGTAATCCACTGAAATACGCATATCCACACCTTCTGACAGGAGTAATAAACTGGCAAGGATATATTTTGTATACGGTTTAGTTGTATCTGATTTTAAAAATAGCGTAAATGCATTATCTCTTCCTGCTTCAATTGAAAGGTCTCCCACTGCAGATGGAAACATTTTAATAATTCTAGAGTGGTATTCCTGCGTGTATTTCTGATTTTCAGTGGGTTTAAATTTCAGTGGTATTCTGAATTTATCCGACCCAGGGAATCTTTCATATTTATAGAAGTGCATGAAGTTATTAGACTTGGCTTCTTTTTTTAAACTGTACTTTACCTTGATTTCGGGTGAAAATAACCGTTTATTATGCGTATATCCATCTGTATGATAAATATATCCACGTAATGGAGAGAGTGATCCTGATCCATTTATCAGGTACTTCGTATTAGATATAATTGGCGTTTCTTGTATTATTTTTATATCACTAACACCCAGTTTACCACATATTATCTGTACCATCAGTAAATTTAGCAGTATATTAAGCATTAACAGGCAAAATAAAAAAACTTTTTACATATAAACCAAAAAAACTGACAAAAGTATAATATATCTTGTACAGTGTATAATAAGTAATAGTATACGTGTAATAAGTAGTGTATATATAATATCTGAAGGTAAGTCTGAATTGGGTATATTTTTATTTATATTCATTCTGTAGGGGTTTAAATATTTTCTTAAATATAGAAATTCTAAAATAAATTAATAATAATATTTTATGTGAGCTATGCATGCTTTATTATAATAAAATGTAAGGCATAAATAATAAAAATATTTATAAATAATAATATTGACGTACTCACAAAGAATAACACTGCCTCCACCCAGATAATACAGTCTAAATACAGATATGCCCTTTATTATAATCATTATAGTATAAGGATGTACACATAGTCATAGTAGTATTAGACCATGTACTGAACTGTCCCCATAGTTATATGATTTGTTTGGTTATGTCCTAGTTTGCATATTGGTAGATCAGTCTCGAGCATACACACCCACATATAATCCGAATAACCCAAAATTCATTTTTATCTTCATATAATATTTAAATTATTCATAATTTTTTTTGCTTCATTAAGATATAAGAATATTATACTAAGAATAATCAGCATAACAACCATAAATATTGCCACAATTATTATAGTTTTAGAGCACAATCCTTTGATTGTAGTCTCTTCTATAGGTCTACCTATAATATCACAAATATCAGATTTTATTGATTTAAAATAGCTTTGAAGTACGTTATTTCTAATTTTATCAATATTAAAATCTTTATGGCCTAATACAACTTTGCACTTATCTAATAGCATTGGAGTATACTTAGTATCCCTAAAAACAATACTTTTCATATTCTTCAGTTGATTTAAGTGTGTCTTAATTGTATTTTTGTTCTTATCTTTATCTAAGCTAAATATATCATTCGTAGTAGGTATAATAGACATATTATATATTGTATAATATAACCACCCAATAGAAGTATATAATCTTTTATCTTTATCTTGAATACAAATTGAATTATAAATTAAATTATTTATAATGTAATGAGTAAAATTAAAAAAATCCGAATCTTTTGTTCTTGCGAGTAATTGCAATGAATAAATATCATCATTAGTTAGTCCTAAATCACATATATTTGATTGTTCTTCTCCATTCTCATCTGTTATTGTTAGATTATCGTCATGTTTCATTAGTATATTTAATGCATTCTGTAATCTAGAGCACTCTCCTAATTCAGTTAACTCACATAGTTTAACTATTGCATCTTTTGAAGTTATTTCTTCACCTAGTTCTGATATGCCTGCTTTCTCACGCAGTATATTAATGAAAGAATCATAGAAATTCTTTCTATTCATATATACTTGTGCCATGATACTATGATTATTACTTATTAATTTATAAAATGCCTCTTTTTTACTTTTACTGTTTAATGTATTTGCTTCTTCTTCAATCATATCTATAATTTCATATGTTTGAGTTATAGAGTCATTGATTTCTGATATAGCAGTATCTTCTTTATAATCACGGTTAATATTTCTACTATATATTTGTGCATAAAATATATTATATGCCAAATTGGTCAGTGGTTCTGGTAAATCTTTAAATATTTTAGTTTTTCTGTTATTATCTGTTATTATTTTATATATTTTTTGCATATCACCATCTTCTATTTCTCCTTTTTTGTCACTGAATTCTTTCTGTAATTCTATTCTTAATTCTTCATCAATATATCCTACCATAAAAATAAAATATTTTTCATATTTATCGTATCCGAACAAATTAGGATAAATTAAAATATTTTATCTGAAGGTAAGTCTGAATTGGGTATGTTCATTATTAAATGCATTCTGTAGGGGCTAAAATATTTCCTTAAATATAGAAGTTCTAAAATATAATATGCTATGTGTAATAAGTAATATACTGTGTTGTGTGTAATATTTTATGTACAATGTGTAATAAGTAATATACTGTGCTATGTGTAATAAATAATATACTGTGTTGTATATAATAAGTATTGTGCTATGTGTAATATATACTGTGCTATATGTAATAAGTAATATACTGTGTTGTGTGTAATATATCTTGTGCTATGTATAATAAGTAATATACTGTGTTGTATATATAATATAATGTATGCTATGTGTAATAAGTAATATTTTATGTACAATGTGTAATAAGTGGTGTATATTTTATGTACTATGTGTAATAAGTATTGTACTATGTGTAATAAGTAATATAATATAATATGTTATGTGTAATAAGTTATGTTATATTTATTTTAGATCATTCCCATGCTAATGTATCCAAATATTTTCTTACTGAACTCAGCCACATTTGCGATCGGGAATCCATTCCCAAGCAGGGATGATTCATAAATAAGAGACACCGTGGAGTTAAACTTCTCTTTCTGATCGGCTTCTAATAATTTCTTAAGCCCAGAGATAATATTATGCGATGGGTTAATCTCCAACACTTTCTTGGTGAGGTACCCAGACGCGAATAAGGGATTACCAGTCGATCCTGGCTGTGACCGTATGATATGCTCCATGGCAGCAGAATAACTGTGCTTAGCACTGGACACGAAGCACGGTAAAGTACCAAGGTTATTTGAAACAGTGACCTTCTCAATCTTATCACCCAGGACGGTCTTCATATTAGTAAGGACGTCCTTGTACTCCTCCTCTAAGTCTTTAACATCATCGTTCTGATCGGGTAACTCTAACCCCTCAGAAGTGATCCTCTGGAAGGGGAGGTCCTCATACTTCGTGAGTGACTGGATGATAAACTCATCGATCGGATCGTACATGAAGACAACTTCATAATTAGCCATCTTCTCAAGGGCCGGGTTTGTCTTCACTTCTTGTTCGCTCACTCCTGTCAGGATGTAAATCTGCTTCTGGTTCTCAGGCTTTCTACTGAGGTACTCATCAAATGAGACCAGATCCTCACTCTTTGATGTCTTATACCTTAACAGCTTGGCTAATTTAGTGGACACGTTAGAACTGTCTTGGTACACGCCCATCTTTAATGAACCACTGCAGTTATTGTAGAACTTGATGTAATTCTCCTTATCAGAGGCTAAGTCATTCAGCATATCAAGGACTTTCTTGGTGACGACTCTTTTGATTAAGTTCATCACAGACTTACCCTGCACGATCTCTCTGGATACGTTGATCGGGATATCTTTAGAGCTAATCACACCGTGCACGAATCCCATCCACTCAGGGATTGCCTCTGATAAGTCATTGCTTACAAGTACGTTCTGTACGTACAGTTTAATATTACACGGGGCCTTCTTACCACCCTCGAACATGTTGAAGGGCTGTCTGTTCTGTACGAACAGGAGTACTTGCATGTCAAATTCACTGCCTTCAATGAATGAGTGACTGACTGTAAAGTGCTTCTCCCAGTCATTTGTGAGTGCCTTATAGAAGTCCTCGTACTCCTTCTCAGTGATGGTTTCCTCCTTTGGGTTTCTAGCCCACAGGGGTTGTTGTGTGTTAAGCTTCTTGTACTCCTCTTCAAAGTAGGTTTCTTCATCGTCCTTCTCCTCAGGGGCATCTTCAACTGCATCTTCATCTTTCTGGTCATCCTTCTCCTCTTCTACTGGTTTAGCCACCTTCCTCTTCTTCTCTGCAAGGACAAACAAGTAGATGGGGTAATTAACAAAGGACGAGTGCACTTTTACTATATTCTCAAGTGCTTTCTCTTCTAAGTACGACTTGCACTGCTCAGATACGTGTAAAATAACTGATGTACCCTGTGGATGGTCTCCCTTGTATGGGGCAATTACAAATCCACCAGGACCTCTGCTGCTCCAAATGTACGGCGCATTGTCGTCCTTCCTGGAGATGACATCGACCTGATCAGCTACTAAAAAGGCAGAGTAGAATCCAAGACCAAACTGTCCAATTAGTGCATCAAGTGACTGTCCTGCACCAGTCCCCTCCTGAATCTTCTTTCTAAACTCTTTTGTTCCACTGGATGCAATACTCCCTAAGTAATTAACCATGTCTGCCTTACTCATACCTATCCCATTATCAATAATAGTGATCGTATTGTTCTGCTTGTTTGGTACTATCTTTATACTGAGCTCCTCATCAATGTTCTTGTATACGTCATAAGTAACCTTCTTTCTCTTGTCATTGGCATCGGATGCATTTGAGATGAGCTCCCTTAAGAAGTAATCTTTACTGGAGTAGACTGAGTTAATCAGAATACTGAGTAAATTGTCCATCTGGGCATCGAATGAGTGGGTCTCTCCCTCTGAGACACCGACTACGGTCTCATCGAGTGTGACTTTCTCATTCTGTGGGTTTGTCTTACTGTGCTCTCTTCTTACTTCTTCAAATGCTTGCTGTGTTTCTTGGTCTAATTCTGGCTTGTTGTTCATTGCTTCTTGCATATTTTATAAAAAATACTTTTTTATTTATACTTTTTTAATTCTGGAAATTTCTTTTTCTGTCAAAAATATTCCAGAAAATTTTTAACAAATTTTTAACAAATTACCGTTAAATTACCACTTTAATTAATAAAAATTTTCAATAACAAAGAATTATAAATGATTATGTAATAATTCATGATTAAATTTAATTAAATATACGCTTGCATTTTATTATATAAGTATATATACTATATGTAATAAATTATATTCATTTTTCAGGTATAACTGAAATTACGTTAGACATGAAAATATTTAAAACACAAATATTTTCGCTGTATGGCACTCTCCACACAGACGGCGACTTAAGCAGTACAATTGAGTCCTTTTCTAATTTATACTTCTGTAAGACAGAAGGGCATACAGCACAGACCATCTCGTCCACTCCATCTGTTATAACCCGATATAACCCGGTTTTATCTGATGCACTGTGTCTTATTATATACCCCAGGACTATCCCGGCCATTTTCAATTTTTGACTATTTCTTATTACACATAGTGTAATATATTCTTGGTTTGGATTTCTTTGTTTTATTATGTTTAATTTTGCTTCTACACTTATTATTGGTGATTGTGTACAAAGAAATGACTCGTTTGAATGGTCATTATTTATTACACAGTGTTTTATATGTTCTGGTCCATTTTTTAATTTTTTAGTTTTATTCTCTTTTAAATTTTTGTCCTCATCAGAGGATAATTCAATTTCTCCTGTAAAAAATTCATCAGAATTAACGGAATTTTCCTTTTCGGGTAATTTCTTTAAATTACAGTTATTTTCAGGGTTATTTTCAATATTTTCATTAATTTTCCTTTTATTCTCAATATTTCTACTGTTAAAATACTCAGAAATCCTCGCATCAAACCCATCCTCATAATTATCCTGGTTTTTAAGGTTTTCTCCAGTATTTCCGTTATTTCCGTTATTTTCCTCATTTGGACTCTTTAAATATTCCAGAATATCTTTAAACATTTAAAAATTTAAAATTTTTATGTACAGTGAAAATATAAAAGGATACACAATTACCACAAAATATGAATTATACGAGCCACAGAGGCAATCAATAAGAACAATCCTTAACTGCCTTGAAGAGGGCGTGTCCGGTATGATCGAAAGTCCGACCGGGACAGGAAAGACTTTAAGCATTTTAGAATCGGTCGTAGCATGGATTAACAAGAACAAGCAAAATAAAGAAGTAAAAGTGTACGTCACCACAAGAACCATAAAACAAGCCCAGCAATTAATCGAGTACTTCAAGACCATAAGGCATGCACCTAAAATGAGTCTACTAGCATCACGAGCCCATTTATGCTTGAACCCAGAAGTGCGTACAGCAGGGAACTTAGACAGTGCCTGTAAGAATAAGAATAAAGATATAAATTCCAAGAATAAGTGCAAGTATTACAGTATAGATAAAGAATCACGGACATCATCCATGGAGAACTCCCTGCCGACCGTGTTCTCAATTGAAGATTTAATACAATCAGGGTCTGAGTGCAGTACGTGTCCGTATTATTACACTAAGGACATGCAGGATAAGTCTACGATCGTATTTGCACCGTATAATTACATTATAAACAAGAGCATAGTAAAAGCCATGGGCATAGACTTAAACGGCAGTATAATAATAGTGGATGAAGCACATAATTTAGATGACATATGCAGATCAAGTGGTTCTGTGGACATAGAGCGTATTATACTGGACGGGATACTTACTAAATTAACCACAGAGACAGTTAATGCGTCCATTGAAGTACCAGAAGTATTCACGTGTATTAGTATAATTAAAGGGATAAGGGAGTATTTTGATGGGGTACCTGACTTATTAAGTGAAGTACCACAGGACATGAAGATTTACGATGTAAATGGGAAGCAAGAACTTTCCATTCCACAGAAGTGTATTTTATCAGAGTTAAGTAAGCTAGGGATTACACCGGAGAGTGTAGATAAAGTATTCTCAGATATAAATGGACTAATTAGGAATTCTGTGTTAGATGAGTTCATGGAGAGGTGGTTAGTCCAGCTAGAGACTGTCTTTAAGTTAATTTTATCTGATGGTAAGCAGAGGGATTATGGCATGGTTATATCTGAGGATAAAGTATCCTTTATACTACTACGGGCAGCTGTCCAATTTGATCCTATTTATAAGATGGCTCGGTCGGTGATACTTTTATCAGGGACTCTTCAACCGTTCCCTGAGTTAGTTAATGAGTTAACGTATAATTCAGGTTCATTTAAGTATTTCTTATCTGCTGGTCATGTTATATCTGATAGTCAGTTATATACACGCACTGTAGGGCAGTATAATGGGCATACGCTTACGGGTACGTATAAGGAGACCAAGAACCCTGTTTATTTCCAGACTATTTCCAGGGTGATCACTGATATAGCGCACTCATTAGAGCGTGTAGGGGGTGTCTTATGCTTTGTACCTAATTATAACACGATTACACTGTTAAAATCAAAATTAGAGAAGCAGTTATTACTATATACGGAAAGTACGGATAACGGCATTTTTGAGGATAATTTACGGAAGTACCGGAGCAAGTGCTTAAACGGGAAGTGTGTATTTTTATGTGTATTCCGTGGCAAGGCCAGTGAGGGGATTAATTTCAAGGACCATGAGTCCCGTGCTGTTGTATTAGTGGGTATCCCGTATCCTAATATACGGAACCACGGTATTATCCTTAAGAAGCAGTATAACAATCAGTATATGAACGGGTCTGGGAGCAAGTGGTACGACCAACAAGCGTTTAGGGCTGTAAATCAAGCCTTAGGCCGGTGCATTAGGCACAAGAACGACTGGGGTTCTATTTTTATGATTGACTCACGGTACGGTTCAGCCGTTAAATCTTCGAAAATTTCTGAGTGGGCTGTTTCTAACTTTAATAATCTGATCGGCCCGGGGATGCTTCAGGAGGAGTACCTCCCATTTATTAAGCAGCAAAAGAGAACTGAGTATGAAGAGAATTACTCTAAAAATTCAAAAGCAGAACCTGAAAATATTTCCAAAAAAAGAAATTTCCCAGGAAATGATTTAAAACGGTTTTTTAACAGATAAATTAAACAAAAATAACCTGAATTTCAACTTAAATATTTATTATAACCCAAATTTACACTCATTCCTGCAAGTCCGACCCAACCCCAGGAATCCTTTCTTGCTCTACATCTACACTGTCGACCGTATCCAGTGCCCCCTCCTCAGCAGTCGGTCTCGGCCTAATCCAGAACTTAACCGTATTATCAACAGAACTCGTTGCGAGCGTATGCCCGATCGGGTGGAAGTCCATTGACCAAATAGTCTTCTGGTGGGCATCCGGGATCACCCTTACAGGGTACTCATTATGCTTCTGCCAGATATAAACAGACCCCTCACCACCCCCAGATACGAATAAGCTGTCTAAGCACGGGTGTACGCACAGGGCAGTTGCCTCCTTTTGGTGTCCCTTATGCGTGAACTCCTCCTTCATTGCCCTAAGGTTAAACATCTTAATCACCTGGTCCTTGCCCCCTGTGAGTATACACTCGCCATCATTTGTCCATTTCAGGCAGAGCACCGTGTTCTTGTGTATGTGCAGGGTCGTTATTTCCTTACCCCTGGGATCCCACAGCTTCACTAAATTATCCTTACCACCACTTGCTATTAGTGCGTGTCTCTTATGCCACTGTCCCACGCGCACGTCCCACCCGTGCCCAGAAAGGCTTCTCTCCTCCTTGGCCGTCTGGAAGTCAAACACTTTAATGGTCCCATCATCAGATGCCGTGCAGAACTTGTTCCCTCTGGGTGCAAAACTTATATCCCGGACTGCTTCCTTATGCGCCTCAATCAACTGCAAGTTATTCATCGATGGCTGCCAATACTTCACAACCCCAATCTGGTCGCCTGATAATAAATAGTCCCCATGCGGTGTCCAGCACATTGACCTGAGCGCACTATCATGCGCCTGTAAGATAGTCTCAAAATTAAAGCTGAACCCATTCCATAACGTAAATTCACCCGTGGCTGCTCCTGATATGAGCCTCCTCCCATTCGGTGCGTACCTTATGGTGTTAATTGGCGTCCGTATTTTATTTATGCTGGTGTGTGCTAAATTTACCGTTAAACTATTAGAGAGCGAGCACGCCCCAGTCACTGGCGGTACATAAATAGAGTATAACGGATGTTTCTGTACAGAACCAAACCGACCCTCTAATTTATATTTAAGGAGTGGTCCATTATAATCTACATTCCTCCTTGCGATTGCTTTCCTCATCCTCTTCCCGTCGTAGACAATTCTTTGTCCTCTCCCTTCATCCTCGTCCATAAATTTAAATTTATGTTGGGAGTGAAAATTTTATATGACACTGAAGAAGCAGAAGCAAGAAATCCAGCAGGGGAGAGAGATAAAATTATTATATGATAAGAACAAGAGCAAGTACGGGATACTTGATACGACCAAGACGGGTGTGATTATATCTGATGGTGTAGTTACGACTGATGAAATAATGGCATCTGTGGATATAGGCAGTAAAGAGCGTGTGTATAAGTTACGGATGGGTGATGGTCCGTATACTGTTAGGTATTCTATAAGTGGTGATACTGTTATGTATATGGGCCAGGAGGGGGTTACGTCCATAAATACGATCGGGTTATCAATAAATGCGGAGCGGTCTCTTAGTGATAAGGTGTATGACGGCACGTTCCTTCACAGTGGTTCATTTTATGCGCTTGCTCAGTCGCAGGCTGTGTACGTATATGATAAAATGGGTGTGGAATTGCATGTTATAAGAGGTGCCCGTGGTGTTCGCAGCTTAAAGTTCTTACAGGACCACTTCCTGCTTGCGACTGTTTCTGATAATGGGTACTTACGGTATCAAGACACCACGATCGGGAAGTGCGTATCTGAGATAAAAACCAAGGAGCGGGATTCTTCATTAGAAGCCGACCGGACAAATGGGGTTGTATACTTAACTGGTCAATCCGGGACTGTTTCATTATGGTCACCTCGGTCGCCGGAGTATTTATCGAAGGTTCTATGCCACCGATCGAGAGTACGCCACTGTAAAGTATCTGATGATGGGTGCATGCTGTATACTGGGTCCAAGAACGAGGTTAAGACGTGGGACATACGGAACATGTTCAAGCCCATTCAAGAGATGACTCTGCCCGGGCTAGTCCGGGAGATGAGCATAAGCCAGACGGGCAAGCTTGCGGTGAGTCAGCGATCGGGTGTTATAGTGTACAATAAGCACTTACACCCAGAAGTACAGCACAGTATGGGGCGTGATACTGCCCACTCACTTACGTTCATGCCGTATGAGGACATTTTAACGATCGGGAGCACTTCGGGTGTAGAGAATATTATTGTACCCGGGTCTGGCAGGACGGTGTACCGGCGGCATGAGAACCCGAACCTGTCCCGGAAGGAGAAGAGGAATTCAGAAGTCAGAAGGATCCTTGAGAAGATCCCTGCTGATTTAATATCCTTAGAGAACGATATTGGCTCAGAGGCCAAGGACTTATTTGAAGAGGAGATCGTGCCGATGAAGCATGAAACCCCAGCAGGCAAAGTAAGGAGACTTATGAAGTTAAACTACGGCTGATGCGCAGAACATAATAGCAATAGAGTAATAAATAATAAATAATAGCAATAGAGTAATAAATAGTATAATTTATCAGAGCATAACTTATTACACAGTGCACATAACTTAGTACACAGTGCATAAAACTTATTAGTGATAGAGTAATAAATAGTATAACTTATCAGAGCATAACTTATCATAACTTATTAGTAATAGTGTAATAAATAATACATTATAACTTATCAATATATAACATACACTGTGTAATAAATAGTATAACTTATTATGTACTGTGTATATATTATTATATAATATGCACTGTGTAATAAATAATTTAATATGGAATAGTTAAGAAGTCAACTACCTTCCTGAATGTATTCTCTAAGTAAGTCTCTTCATAACCCTTATCTTTATGCTGCTCTTCTTCCTCCCCACATAAACCAGCCTTTCTACTCGTATCTATACTAGTTATCACTGTTAGTATACGGCACAGTATATTTAGTATAATTAGTGCAATAATAATAGTAATAAGTAATAGAACTATCTTACCCAGTTGTACTACTGTAATTAGCATATTATTATGTACTTGTGGTATATCTACTGGTACAGCCATATCCATAATATAAAATATAAAATATAGTACATATAATATAAAATATAAAATATAGTACACATAGTATAATAAATGATATACTAAATATATATAAAATAAGTATAAGATATAGTACATATAGTATAGTAAATGATAAATAGTACACTATGTGTAATATATTATGTATAGATCAATTATATAATAGTTTAATATATTATGTATAGATCAATTATATAATACACTATGTGTAATAATTAATATATGGTATGCTATCTATACTAAATTATATCTATATGTAATAGATTATATAATACACTATGTGTAATAATTAATATATGGTATGCTATATGTGATAAGTCTTATACTATATTATATTTATTATATATTATACTATGTATTAATAATACTATATATTATACTATGTATAATAATTATTATTTATATTTATGTATTGTGTAATAAATTATACTTTGTTTTTATAACCCGAATTAACCCTATTTTAAACCATTAAATATCCCTCTCTTCTGGTCCAGCAGGCGGTTTATACATAGCCATATGCGCAATACACAGAATAATTGCTAAAGTCGCTGTAAAGAATAAAGAAACAAGTGAATTCGGCATAAATATAAAGAATACCACAGGAACCCCAACGGCCACACAATATATATGAAGCTTTGTGTAATTAGTTCCAAGAATTCTTACACAATCATCACTATTTTCTGTCGTAGCATAAAATAAATAAAAACAAATCCCTGCAGGAATAATTAAAATCAGGTGAAACACCAAAAACAAGCATAAAAACAAACAGAATATAAGGATATAATTACCACACATTGTGTAATAATTAATGATAATTCTGGACTTAACTTCTTCTAAATTTGCAGGTAAATTTGCCACTTCATGATTTAAGAACTCTTTCAACGGGAGTCTTTTATCTATTCTCTCTCTGACGTAAAAGCCAATTTCATTATATAACTTATTCTCCATTGTGTAATAAATAAAAAACAATTTATAAAAAAATAAAAAAACAAAATAAAATAAACAAAATAAAATAAAACACTGTATTATATAATATACTATGTGTAATAAGTAATAAAGAATGTGTAATAAGTAGTAAAGAATGTGTAATAAGTAATATATAATATATTATATGCTATACTATGTGTAATAAGTAATAAAGAATGTGTAATAAGTAATATACTGTACGCCTATTAATTAGCATATAATGTATAATAAGTAATATACTGTACGCCTATTAATTAGTATATAATGTGTAATAAGTAATATACTGTACGCCTATTAATTAGTATATAATGTGTAATAAATCTTATATTATATTTATTATTTATTATTTATTGTGTAATAAATCTTATTCTTTATTGTACATAACCTCAGATAAATTCCGTATTAAAATATCCTTCCAAAAGGACCTGTCTAATATTTCTTCTCCCTTATTGTCCTCTTTAAATAAAATATCCCTTATAAAATAATAATTATTCATGAACCCTTCTGTTACACTATTAGTAATAGTATAATTAACCTTATTATCAGACGTATTACTATTACATACTAAATAGTGCAGAACCCGGTACTTATTCTGCCTGTTATAATAAATAAACCGGAATAACTTAGGGACTGAATCTGTTTTATCTATTACTACATCAAATTTTGACTCATGGAATATATCTGACGTACTTGTGTACACCTTACCATCAATAACAGGGGTCTCTAACCCATCAATAATGAATAATTCACCAGAAACAGGAGAAATCCTGGAAATATTCTCAAAATTAATAAATGACAGTTTTAGATCTATTTTATGGAATAATTCAAGTACAGAAGATGTGCTCAGAGGAGATTTACTCTTCGCTAGCTTAAACACTCGCATAAAAAATAAATTTTTATTTCTATTTATATACTTATAGATACCCCATGAATAAGTAATATATTTGAATTTGTATAATGAGGGCTTGTAGCTCAGTGGTAGAGCATTCGACTGCAGATCGGATTGTCCCGGGTTCAAATCCCGGCGAGCCCTTTTTAAATTTTTTATGCAAGAAACATGGGCACACACAGCTCTCTGCTTTGACACACTCTCCGGGATATCCTCAAGGAAGGAGATAATTAAAAGACTCTCCCTGTACTACAGTGCTTTAAATATGACCGAATTAATTGAGTCTGTTTACCTCTCAATTGCCAGAATTTCCAGCGAGTCAAATGGCGTGGAAATGAACATTGGTGAAAATATTTTATTGAAGGCGCTGAGTAAATTTAGTTCCCTGTCAGTTGAAAATTTAAAAAAAAAATAGAAAGAAAAAGGAGATATTTCTTCTGTTATAACGGTAAAAAACAGACCAAAATTATTCTTTATTAGGAAAAATCAGGTTCTTTATTTATCTGAAGTATTTTCGTGTTTAAAGGGTCTTTCAGAGATGACTGGGAAGGACTCTACAGCACAGAAAGTGCAAAAAATAGCAGAATTGCTTACACGGTGCAGTGTAGATGAAGAGATCAAGTATATTATACGGATTATTGATGGGAAGATGAAAATCGGGTTATCCACACAGAGTATTTTATGCGGGCTGGGGCTTTCATTTAAGGAGCGGTTTGGTTTGAAAAATAGTGAAAAAACCGTTATTTTTGATTCTGAAAATGGAAAAATTCAAACAGAAAATAATTTATGCAGTAATCAGATTGAATGGACAGATGATGAAAATAAAGTAATGGAGGATATAAAAGAAGCATATGCTCAATTGCCTTCATTTGAGAAAATCATAAAAAATGTATTTTCTAACGGAATTTCATCTCTCTCCTCGGATTTAATCACTCCCGGGTATCCTTTAAGACCGATGCTGGCGATTCCTGAGAAGAGTCCAGAAACTGTCTCTGCTAGGTTTAAAAGTGAATATTTAGTGGAGTATAAGTACGATGGAGAAAGAGTCCAAGCACACTACTTCAACGGAAAAATAGAATTATTCAGCAGGGGATTAGAATCTACAACGGAAAGGTTTAACCAATTAATTGACTCACTGAAGAAATCGAATAAAACCGGCGAGAGTTTTATAATTGATGCAGAAGTAGTTGCGTACTGCAGGGATACGCAGAAGATCCTTTCATTCCAGACACTATCCAACAGGAAAAGGAAATTTACAGAATCAAATGCGGGTAAGTCTGAGAGTGACATTGCCTTGTTTATATTTGATATTCTGTACTTGGGAAGGCCTCTTAATAAGATGAGTATACGGGAGAGGAAGAAGATTCTGAATGAATCCTTTACTCAGATAAAAGGAGAAATATTCATTGCAGAGAGTTTTATGTTCTGCACCAACGACTTAGAAAGGTTGAACAAGATATTTTCCGACTCACTGGCCAGTGGGTGTGAAGGGGTTATGGTAAAGTCAGCTGACGAGACAGATTCTGGGTACGAGCCATCTAAAAGGAGTCAGAAATGGGTTAAGCTCAAGTCAGACTATATCACTGGGTTATTTGAGACTCTTGATTTATTGGTTATAGGTGGATACACTGGAAAAGGTAAGCGAACGGGCGTATACGGCGGATTTCTACTTGGGTGCCTAAATGAAAATGGCGTAGTAGAAACAATCACAAAGATAGGCACGGGGTTCAGTGAGGCAGTGCTTGAAGATCTGAGTAAGGAGCTTAAATCATGCATTACAACAGAAGCACAGACAGAGATAAGCATACAGAACACACCTGACGTATGGTTTAAACCAGTCACTGTATGGGAAGTGGCTGCCGCAGGATTTTCTGTATCCTCTGAGTATACGGCTGGAATGGGTGCATTTGACCTTCCGGATGGCAAGGGAATTTCTTTGAGATTTCCTCGGTTTATTAGGCAAAGGGATGACAAAGCAGCGGACAGTTCCACGTCAAGTGAGCAGCTCCTTCATTTATTCAGGGCATCCCAGCAGTGAATTTTCAGTTATTTTTACTTATAGTAGTACTATTAGTGAAGACTTAATGAGGTAGGAGTAATAAATTCTGGTTAACTTTATTTTTATTTTAATTGTAAACTTATAACTCTATATGCATTAAGTATTTAATTATAACAGTACGATTACTTTATAGTAAATGTGTAATAAATTCGGTCTAATTTTATGATTAAAATAACAGTAAATGAGTAAATTATTTACTACTTAATGTATAGTATTTAATGAGTAAGCAGAAGTACACTATTTATTATACATTGTGTAATATTTAATAGGTGCATAGAAATAAATAAATTATCATTACTATTTAACCATTGTGTAATATTTAAACATAATAAACTGATTTGTTATAATGCATTACTTTTTATATATTGTGTTTTAAGTTCACTGCTTTTCTTGTTGTATTTATTGTATTTTTGTTTTCTTATTATATGCATTTTGTTTTGCAAAATTAATGCATCGTATGAGTTCACTCGGAGCAGCAGCACCTCCAAATACCGATGAAATAATACCAGAAATCAAAGCACTGGAGTATACATACACTAGGTCTACATTTACATCAGCACCGACTAAAAGAGCGGATTTGAAAAAGACAAAGATTCCTTTTATTATATCTACTACAATCCTTCCTGTGAATGAGCAGCCTGTTAAAAGAGTTGAGGTGATACCTCGGTGTAAGGACTGCAGGGCGTACTTAAATACATACAGTGAGGTAATACCACCTGGTTATAAATGGAGATGTTCTATATGCAGAGTAGTTAACGACTCACCTTCTCCATTGCATTCATACGGTGGGTCACTTCGTGTATTTAGTCCATCTGAGAATACAGAGAATAACAAGAGGGTGAGTACCAATCCTATTCTTACAGAGAGTATTTTAGAATTTGTCTCACCCTCAGAGAGGAACACTCCTCCACCGGCATCTTTAATGTTTTTGGTGGAGTGTACGTCTGAGACAATTGAAAAGGGGATATTTAGTGCAGTGTTGCATCAGATAAGTGAATCGCTTGATTATTTAAATGATCCTCACGAGCGGGCAACTATTACAATTATACTTATTTCTTCTGTTGTAGAATTAGTCAGACTGAATCAGCCAGATCTTATTGTAGATAGAATTAATGAAGTGGAGGGGGCTTTACCTATGCTAATGGACACAGAATACACAGCTAGAATAAAAGACATAAAAAAGGATATTTTAAGTAAAATGTCTAAGATAGAAGAGTATGCACTGCAGTGTGTGCGTGAGCCTGGAAACAACTTCGGGCTGGCATTAAAGCTAGTGAAGCACTTATCGCATAGAAGAGCAGAAGTATTTGCATTTTTATCTACTCCCCCTTCTTTAAAGTCTGGTGCTATTATCAAACCTTCACTCAGTCTAAGACCGTGTATGAGCTTTTATGAGCACATGGCGAATTCACTGGTTGAGTCTAATGTTTCTGTGAATATATACGTACTTACCTCAAAGACTGTTGAAATACCTGCTCTTCTTCCGCTGGTTGAGAAGACTGGTGGGTACATTAAATACTACCCTGCATATATAGGCCATTACACACAGGATAAGGACGCACTGCGCTTAGACTTAATGCAGCACCTATCGCTAGACAATGGAAATAATGCGTACTGCAGGGTGCGCGTTTCAAACGAAGTAGCCATAAAGAAATACTGGGGGGTAGATGTGCAAAATGACGGACTCATTAGATTATCTAGGCTGTCTCGTGGTAAGACTATATCCTTTGAAATAGATTATGAAGATGATTTGGTTTTGGAGGGGCTGACTGTCCAGATAGCTACAATTTATACGAATGTTATTGGTGAGCGGATTGTGCGTATTTTAAATTTTACAATTGGACTCGGGCCCACAGCGATTGATATCTTGGGGCTGGTTCATGGAATAACTTTAAAGGCTCTCGATGCAGAAGTTGCACAGCGGGGCATGGGCATAAAAACAGTTCTGAAAATGTCAAGTGAAGTGACGGAATGTACCGGTTTAATGGGGACTATGTCAGTGTTCCCCAATTTAATACACGGTCTAATTAAGAATAAGGTATTTAAGAATGTATCTTCTGATTTAAGAGGTATAACGTACTGGGCATTAATTGACGAACCAATGAAAACAGTAGATGCTATAATATATCCCACACTTGTCCGGCTAGATACAGATGTAAATGAATCTGAAAGTGACGAGGTTATACTTCCCTCGCCCATGCGCCTCTCTGGCAATATGGTTGGTGCGGAGGGCGTTTACTATCTTGACTGTGGTATAATTGCGTATGTGTTTATAGGAAATAACTCTTCCTGCAATTTATTTGAAGGCATACAGGGCAGAGCATCCATTAACCCACAGGACAAGAAATATGAAAAAATACGGAATATAATGGATTATATGGTAGATGGTAGAATATCTGATCCTGTGGTCTATATTGTACAGCAAGGTGGCCATTCGTTCCTTTTAGAGGGTTTACAGTCTATGCTTTTAGACGACGGTGCATCCCCTGTATCTGCTTCGTATCAGGAATACTATAATAGATTTGTAGCAAAAGAGTATTTAAAATAATCTGTTATAATAAATAGTATAATACTGTTACTTACTGGTTTATTTACTCAGCGGCCCAAATTATCCTAAATCCAAAATTTGCTTGGCAATTCAGTCACTGCAATAAAGAATGTTTTTATTAGAATTTTTTCACTTTCAGATTTTATTATTAAATGCAAAGCCTATACAGAAATATTCCTACTTAAACACCTTTATTTTTATTTTAAATAATTTACATATAACCAGAAAATTAAGACGAATAAGATGTTCTTATGTATAACACACTAAATATAACAGACACTGTAATATATAAAGTATATAAAGTAGATTATTTATAATTTCTAGTAGCTGGTTTCTTTCTCTTTCTTGTAAATGTGTGCACTTAAGTTGTTTTCTTGTGAAAGGCATTCTTAAATTTGACCTTTATTTAATTCGTATACGTATTTATAGACCGTATAATCAATTTAATTTATGTTGGCGTATTCGGGTTAACAACAATTTCTTATTTAATTTGTGCTACACAATGCTGGTCTTAGCATACAACAATATTTATTCCCTATAATTACTTACAAAAACAAACGAGTAGACCAATAGTGATTTTATTGAGTTTTTAATAATTCCAATATATGCTTCAATACATACCATAGGAAATGAATAAAATTCAGTACTTTATTTTTCTATATATAATTTATATACTACAGTATATGTCTATATATGAAAATAAAATAGACATAGAAGAATATGAAAAAGAAAGCATAGATAAGATTAAGAATACTTGAATGAACTGAAGAGAGCAAAAAATAATTTAGTTTTATTTATAGTCAAGGGAGCTAAAATATATAATGATGTAAAGAATTATAAGAACTGAATGCTATCAAATTTAAAACTAACGTAATTGAGAATTACATGTCCCCCATAAAGTCACTTATTTCAATTATTAGAGGAAAATCTAGTCGTACAACTAATGAGGAAGTAATTGCAGATTTCTGGAGTACTAACAATTTATCTATTATACTAATAACTATAGCTATTTCTATAATTATTCTTAGTATATTCGGGTTATACCAAAATGAGATAAAACCACTAATGAACAATTAAACATTCATTATTTTAACAATACCACTGCATTAAACTATAATGCTTATATAAGCATAGTCTGAGAAGAGTAGTCCAGTAATTAAAGTAACAATTCAATATTCTTCTTTATTTTATTTTAGAATTTCTATATTTAAATTTGTTTGTTCTTATACAAAGGATAGACTTATTTTAATTTTTTATTATTCTTGCCATATAAAACTTTAAACATTTACATATTATAGCACTAGATGACTTCGCATAGATATGTGTCTGGTACCTACACTAGATATAGTTCATCATATGATAGAAACCATTAGTTAATTCTTTAAAAGGCACATTAAGACACTTTAATGAGATTTGAATACGCCTTTATATACACCGCATGTTTAATTTAATTCATATTAACTTGTTTATGTAATCATTCAGATAACTCATGTATTACTATATTTGTACTAGTCTTGCCATACAGCATAAAA